GACCGAGGCCGAGAGCGCTCGGGCGGGCTTCCTCTTCGACCGCCTGGTTGCGGCGCGCAAGCAGCCCAATGCCGAGTCCGTTCTCGTGCAGCTGATTTCTGAGACGCTGCCAAACCATTCAAATGCCTCGATGTTTCCTGCGACGTGCCATGGCCACCTCGCGCGCGTCCACGCCATCTTGCGCGCCGGCGAGGTCGCCCCCAGCACGGCGAAGGCCGCGGCGGAAGCGCGCGCCGACGAGAAGAAGACGACGCGCCGTTCCGCTGGAGACGCACCCCAGCGGCAGGCAGACCATCGCGGATGCGAAGCACAGGGCCCAGCGGCGCAAGGGCGCGGACGAGCGCGACAAGAAGCTCGCGTTGCAGCTGCGCGAGTTCGAGGGGGAGCTGGGGTCCGACAGCTGGGACATCGCCGCCCAGATCAAGATGCTCGCGGACTGCCCCTCCCGCCCTCCCCCTCATTGTTTTTGTTTGTTTTGTTTGTTTGCGTTTGTTTCCAATAATTATATACTAGATGTTCTCTCTCTCTCTCTCTCTCTCTCTCTCTCTCTCTCTCTCTCTCTCATTTACACATTTTTATATACATGTATATATATGTGTATGTGTATATGTACATATATATATATATATATATAGGTTCTCTCTCTCTCTGTCTCCCCCTCTCTCTCGATTCCCCTCCTCATGTTGCTCATCTCTCTTCCCTCGTCTTCTCCTCCGCGCGTCGCCCGTTGGGCCGCCGGGGGGCAATCCGACCCTCGGAGAGCCGCCTCGGCGCGGGGGGGGGGGGGGGCGGACGATGGAGAAGGAAGAGGAGGGGGGGGGGGGGGGGGGGGGGAGGGGGGCGGGAAGAAATTGGGGATGCGGGGCGATGCGGGATGGCTTGCAGGAGTTGCCCGAGTCACGCGGCAAACGCGGCTCCGCCAACGCGGAGAGCATCGCGACCGCGGTGAAGTTCATCGAGCTCGCCGCGTCCACGCGCGTGTCCACGTGGCTGAAGCCTCGGCAGCGCCATGGGCGCGTCCAAGAGTCACTCCAAAGTCCTTGAGGACGAGGTCGGAGCCGCGCTGGCGGAGCGCGGCAGAGGCCTCGACGACCCCCGCGCCGGAGAGTTCAGCCGCGCAACCTCGAAATGCAAACCCGCGCCCCCGACCGCGAAGGCGACGGTCAACCTCGACGAGCTGATCGAGAGGGCCGAGATCATGAGTGCCTCGGATCATGACGTTCCACGTGTTGTTGTGGAATCTACTTCCTTAAGAGATGCCCAGCGTTCCGCGAATCAGTGTCTCGCCACGCTCGCAGATGGCGATCAAGAGAAGCTTCGAGATTACGCTGCAACCACTTTCGATGCAGCGTTGGAGCTCATGAAGGCCATCGCCCTTTCAGTGGGCGAGACGGCCGGCGACAATACCAATGTGACGTTGACTCGCGTCAATACGTTTACTGCCGCATGCAAATACCTGAAGTTCCACGATGCTGAGGGCGACAGCGTTGGTGTCCAGATCGAGGATTTTGTTGGGAATGCCTCGGGGGTGAAGGAAGGGGCCATAGCCGCTGCATCAGCGTTGACCAAGATAGCTCTTTCGACCCAGGACCTTGCGCTCAAGAGCTGCTGCGACCTGGGGAAGTGCCTCTGCCCCGTCGCCACCCCGGCCGCCGCCGCGACTGGCCCCAGGGCCATGGGCAACACGTTCTGCGACGTCCTCGGGAAGCCCATGGGCCCGCTCGCCGACTTCAGGCGTTTCGTGGACGGCCTAAGGGGGGATGGCATAGGTGAGCATTTCAAGACGACGAGCCCGCAGCATCCGCGCCGCGCGTTCAAGAGCTGCTTCGAGGCCCCTTCAAGTGATGCGACCCCCCTCGAGATGGCAGACGCCATGGCGAGGGCGATCTCCGACGAGTGGACCGCGCAGTGGACGTCGCCCAGGGAATGTTCGGACAAACTCATGCCCGCGGGGTTCGCCGCTTCCAAGGGCGCCATCCTCAAGCAACCTGAGGTGATGAGTGCCATGGCGAGGAATCCCGCTCGCGAGGAGCCGGCGATGCAATCGAGCCTCTCCTTGGAAGAAGTCGCCGCCATCGGAGCCATGCAGAAGCAGAGGGTGGAGCTCATTACCCCAGAGCTCTACAAAGCCGTGGAGGGCGCTTGTGTTCTCGGAGCGAGCTGCGTCTCCTACTCGCGCGATCGACAAGGTCGGCGCGGAGCTGACGAAGCGCGCGAACGAGCGGGCCAGGGGGATCTTAAGAGAGCGCTGGTATCAAAGAAGCAGCTGGGCAACCTCGGCAACGACGTCGCCGTCCTGCTCGAGCACATCTGCACTGAGGAGGGCGACGCGGACGATGGGGGCTAAGGCGAGCTTGATGCGCCTGGAGGCGCCCGCCGCGGAGTGCGACCCGGACGGCGGGGAGACTGCGGCCTAGTCGGGGGCGGGCCTCGGCGTTCAGGTGAGCTTTCTGAGCTCGCGGGCACCCTTGCCGCGACTGGCTGCCCTGCGAGGGGGAGAGGCAAGACGACGACGTCCAACGATGGCGATGATGAAGAGGGCAACGACGATCCCGGTGGCGATATCGATGACACGATGACGAACATCAAAACGACAACGATGACGACGAGGCGGATCATACAGATGACGTTGTCGATGACGATGCAGGTAATGAGGTCCCTTGCGATATGGTAACAATGATAGCGATGATGGGGGCAGAGCGCGCTCACTCCGTGAGGTGGCGGATGGTGGCAGGGGCTTGCGCGACATGGTTTGGAGCGAGAGACCAGTCAACCGTTCGTCTGAAAAGAAGCCTTTTTGCTCGATGATGTCCTTTTTGCTTGCCGTCGGTTGTCCTGCTCGCCTCCCGCTGCTGTCATGCTGCTGCTGGTGCTGATCCGTTGCGTGGGAAGGCGCGAGGGGCCCTCCTCCCCGCCCTTCTCCCCTTGAAGCATTGTCGCGCAGGCTATCTTACAATCGCGGGGGCACGATTTTGAGAGAGCAATTAAAAGCAACAGTACACGCAATACCAGATTATGGGCTGAGGTCCTTAGTTCTTTAATAGGTGTGGTTGTATTTTCAAGTTAACCTCTCTTAGTATCGCTTCCCAATCACTCAACAAATCAGGATGAGGAGAAGGATGAGGAGACCGCTTGGGGGTCTCTAGGGCATTCTTGGGCCCCCCTGGGAACTTCATAGGGGGCCTTTTGGGAGCTTCTTTAGGGCGTCCTTGGTCCTGTTGGGGGCCTTTTGGAATTTGTTGGGGGCGGTGGGGGCCTTCTTGGCCGTCTTAGGACGTTCCTGACCCGTTTGGCACCGTCGGAAGCCGTTTTGGAAGCCTTTCTGGGCCGTGATGGGGCCATCTGGGGGCGCGTCACAATCGTCTTGAAGGCCATTTTGGGTGTGTTGGAGGCCTCTTGTGTCGTCTTGGGGCTCTTCGGGGCCTCTTGGACGACTTTGGGGCAATCTTGGAGGGCCTCTTGCAGACCTCTTGGGCCGTGTGAGGCCTTCAGAAGGGTGTTTTGGGTTATCTTGAGGGCGTCTTCGTTGCATCTTGGGCCGTCCTAAATGCATCTTGGGGCCGTTTGAGAAGCCATAGTGGGCCATATTAGCCGTCGTGGAGGCCATCCTGGGGCCATTTGGGAGCCGAAGACTGTTGGTGCGAACGTGTTCCCAGGCCTTCCGGGTAGTCCGCGCGCTGGGCCGAAGCCCCAGGGGAGTTTCAAAAAGAAACAAGAACAGTCAAACATTGAGCACGCTACGCGGCAGTTACACGCGTTGTTGATATCGACATGTCGGCTTGCTATCACATTTGAAATTGAATGTTCGAACGTTGGGGACGCTTTGCGTACCAGCCCAGGCACAGAGGCGGACTGCTGAGTAATCGTTGCGAGTTTTTGGCGGCGCCGCGCCTCCGACCATTTGACTTGTCAGGGTGCTTGGATTGTGCATCCTGAGAATGGGGAAACATTGTGTCTCACATGAGCATGGTCGCGCCAAAATCGGCGGCCTTGCCCGCAAAATATCAGAGCTTACTCTGCTGAGACGCCGCTTCAGCTCACGGCACAGTCTGAAGTCAGCTTTGTTGTTTCTGCTTGGTTGCTCTCTTTCTTCGGATTCCTTTTTCTGCCCCCTGTGCTCGTGGGCGTACCGGCTACTGTGGTCGCCCCAAATTTATTTGCCAGCTCTTGTGCTTGTGTATGTATGGGGGGTTCGTTCGCCGCCTGGTCGCTGCCACAAGCGTTCCCATGCTCATGGGCCCTGGTCGAACAATTTGTCGATTGTGGCACGTTGTTGAGCTGAGGCATGGTCATCCGAACGCTGTGGCCAGTCTTCAGCCTAGGATACGCAGTCCGAAGCATTTCCCCCCATGCGGGCGCAACGCGTTGTGCCATCGGTGCTGTGTTGGAGCACTGTCGAGTCGGAGGTTCAAGCCCCTGCAGCTTCTGATTTCGTTGGCGACGGCTTACAGTTGTGTGTCGCAGCTTCTTCTATTGCCGTGATGTTGAAGCGGCAAGTTGTGCATTATTTCTGTGCTTCTGGGCTGTGTTGGGTGTCTGTGAGGGCGTAAGTTGTGTTTCGACCGCATGCACAGGCTGTGCGACATTTGTTCATGGCTTGCCCGAAGTCGCGGAGCAGGTCAACAATGGAACGCTCTTGTTTGCAAAAGCAAATGATATCTTCCAGGGCCACGGGAGAAGCCACGCGACGCGCCACAAGAGCGCCCAGAAATCCTGCTAGTTATGGGCGTTTGCAAGAGTGAGGACTCGAACGAGCCTGAGTACGCCCCGCTCAGTGCCTCGCGCCACGGTGACGGATTGTATCGGGGTGTACGTGCGAGCCTCGAGGTGCGTGCAGCTTCGGAGAGCGCCAGAGTATTGTAACATTCGAAGTTCTCATCGCAAGGAGATGTCATGTGCAATTTTCTGCGAGCCCTAGGGCTCACGCCTGACCATATTCCTTTGCTTCCTCCCGTCTACCCTGCTGCGCCCACAGCCTCTCGCACGCTGCCGCCAGAGAGGACCCGCGGCCAGATTGCGTCCTGGTGGACGGTTGCAACCGGCCACCCGAGCTATTGCGCAAGGGCGAGCAGTGGACGCGTGGAACTAAGGCCTGCACCGTCGTGTAAGCAGGAGGAGGATGCCGATCTGGTTGGATTCCAATGTTTCGTCAATCCGGTGCGACCCGATGTTTGCATGCCGTTGTTGTGCATCCTGGCGCAGCCGATCCGATTCGGTTTCGAGTCTGAGCCGGTGCGGCCCGATTCCATGCGCGTTCCGATCAGAACTAGCTCCCCGAGTCGAGTATGAGCGATCCTGCCTTCTCCCTTCCCTTCTCCCTCCTCCTCTTCCCCCTGGTCAGGACGAGGGCCAGCGGGATGTGATGGTGGTGGGTACCTAGCGTTAAGTCGGGCGTGTCCCTCTACAGGGGGAATATTCAAAAATAGTTACAGTATGGGGAACATTTGTGGGGTATTGTTTGTTACTTTTGGTTATTTTTTTGTATTTGCAATTTTTCGCCCAAGATCCCTCTGTAGAGGGACACGTCCGACCTAAGCTTAGCATGAGATTTGACCGTTTGGGATCATTTTTCTTTTGTTTTGTGTCGTCCAAAATCCCCTTGTAGGGGGACACGCCCGACCTAAGCCCAGCGTGAGATCACGAGACAGGTGTTTGTGCTTTGGCTCGCACTGCCCGCGAGGCGGGAAAGAGCAACGGGGAGGGGCGGCGCGCCTCCTTGGAAGGCGCGGGTGCAGCTGACGCGGGGGGCGCCTTGCCAAGGCTCAAGTCGGGCGTGTCCCTGTACAGGGGGAATCTTCAGAAATAGCCAAGAAATAGTCTGGGGACAGATGTTTGACCATGTTTGAATATTTTTGGAATACTTTTTGGGGTACTTTAAATTTTTTGCCCACAATCCCCCTGTAGGAGGACAGGCCCGACTTAAGCCAAGGCGCTCGCTGCTGGCGGTCAGCAGCGCGTCTGGCCTCCCTTCGAAGCCTGGCCTCCCTCCGGGCGGCAGCTGTACGCTCAAGCTGCACGGCGGTTACAGGAGGCGGGCCAGGGGGAGGGGGGAGAGGGGGGGGGGCGGGGGGGAGGGGGGACGGGTGGGACTGGAGACCCGAACAGGCTTCGGGTGGAGCCCGAGGAGGGGAGCATTCAGGTTCCGGAGTCGGAGCAGGAGTGGGAGCCAGAGTCGGATCATGACGGACATTCTTATCCAAGCTCGTCTCACATTGTTTTGATGTCTTCTCCAGGATTAGCTGGCCTTTTTTTGTTTGATTTCTTGGCCACATGTCCAGGGCAACAAATAGTTCCTGAGCACAATCCTTGACATAGAATGACCACAATCCTGCACAAGGGTCGGGCTGTCAGCGTCACAGTGGTCTGCATCATTGGTCTTCCCAAGTGTATCTCAAATGGAGTCGGCAATAGCGGCAGCTATGCGCATACACATCTTAGGTTGGTAGTTAGGTATTGTTTCTTTGGTTTTGAAAGCCCTTTTGGAGTCCTTCCCAATGAGCACCTTATTGAGCCGCTGGGGTTGCCGCATTTGCCCTGCCTACCTGCACAGGTTAGCCTCTCCGCCAGAGTAGGCCGTCGCATTCCTGTGAGTCTTGTCGGAGCACGTCATATCTCCTCCGGCTCGAGGTGATGGTGAACACCCTGGTCGAGTTTGTCCGCGACACAGATGGGGCTGGAATTGATGGCCTCGAGTGGTTCCTTGGGCCCTGGTAGAAGCTACTTGGCGCTTGCGGTCTCCGATGTGCTGGGAACCGGTGCTCCATCCAGGAGATTGTACCCGCAACGAGATGTCATTCTAGAAGATGTTGCATACTTCACAGCTGCAGGTTTCCAATCTCCAGCTGTTGGGGGGTCCTTCAGCCATCTTACAGCACCCCAGGTTTTACATGCCCCCCCCTCCGTATTCCATGCCCTTCGTGCAGTGCTCCTGTTCGATCCAAGTCGGTATGTCCCCCTCCCTTCGTCGTCTTGAGAACGAACAAGTTCCAGACAAAGATCTCACGTCGATGTATGCGACACGGTGATGTAGTACACGCAAGCTCTGTGTAGTCTTGGGCTCGATCTTTCCAGAATATGTTGGCCACAGCGGGGCTGCTCTGGACTCGTAGATGGGTCAGATGAGCGGAAGGTGGCCTGGTATTTTGAGGAGGGCCGGACGGTCGAGTTCGTAGCAAGTGCCAGGAGTTTGGAGGAGTTCGCGAGCTCCTTCTTGTGCTGCTGCTTCTTCTTTCCCTTCTTCTTCATCTTATTTAATCGCTTCGCTCATGCCGCCGGCCCTGGAGCCCTCTTTAGGGCCTCTTGGGGGCCTCTTGGGGACCTCTTGGGAGTCTCTTGGGGCTCCTTGGCGGCGTTTTGGACTGCTGCTTCTTCTTTCCCTTCTTCTTCATCTTGTTATTACTGTTCTGAAAAGAAAGCTAGCACCAGCATCGCCGCTGGGTACAAGCCGTTCGCTGGGTACTGCACCCTCGCTGGGTGGGGCGCTCGCCATCTGCCTAATCCTGTCTGCTGCTGCTTAGCGAGATCCGTGATCTCTTTCTGGCAGAGTTCCTTAGCACGCTCCGGGCTGAACACGGGGCCGTGTAGGCATTATCCAGACGAAAGGCCCAAGCATATGCAGTTGTGAGTATCGCACTAGTCTGCTTCCTCTTCGGTGGCGCTCTCTTTCGGGCCACAAGAAGTGTGAGGGGTGTGCCGAAACGAAAGGCGGGGACGCATGTGGTCACAGCCACTGGGGCCTTCAGTGGAGCTCCCTATGGGGCTAGGAAGCGCTGTACTGGGTGCGCTGCAATGGTGGACATGCGGAGAGCAGAGGCAAGGAGGTGGTAGGGGCGAGGATGAGGAGAAGGAACGCGGGGCGCTATCTCTTCAAAACGAGGACCCAACACCACAGGATGGTTGTGAAATAAACTAAGCAGTACTGCGGAGTGTCGGGGGCGCAGTGGTCCCTTAGCAGGCGACGGACGGCAAAAGATACTGAGCATTCCATGCATGTTATAACTCCCCCCGTGAACCTGGATATGTATTGTGGAGGCCTTACGGCCGGTCCCGCCGACCCTGAAGACGACGCCGAAGACGAGGAGGAGGAGGACTCCTCCTCCTCCTGGAGGAGGAGGAGGAGGAGGAGGAGGAGGAGGGGGAGATGGAGCAGGATGATGAGTCGGAGGACGCGGTGGAGCAGCAGCAGCAGCAGGAGGATGAGGAGCGAGGAGGAGGAGGATGTGGAGGAGGAGGAGGAGGAGGAGGAGGAGGAGGAAGAGGAGGAGGAGGAGGAGGAGGAGGAGGGGGAGCAGGGACAGTAGGAAGACGAGGAGAATAGGAGTCGGAGGAGCAGGAGAAGAAGGAACGACGCGGAGGAGGGGCAAAGGGGAGGAGAAGGATTGGGAGGAAGAGGTCGAGGTAAGTTTGCGGGGCGCTGGGTGAAAAGCACGCGGTGGAGGGGAGGGAGCATGATGAGGATAATGATCGGGAGGATGAGGATGATGAGGAGAAGGAGGATGCGAAGGTAAGGAGGAGGGAAAGGTTGCGAATGAGGAGGAGGAGGAGGAGGAAGAGCAGGAGGAGCAGGAGGAGAGGGAGGACGCGGTGGAGCAGGAGGGGGAGGATGAGAAAAAGCATACGGCGGATGATGAGGAGGGAGAGTTTGGGCAGGAGGAGGTCGACGAGGGCAATCAGCAGGTGGAGGACGATGAAGTCGAGGCGGAGGAACAGCAGGAGGAGGGTCAGGAGCACGGGGAGCATGTTGTACCCTTACCTATGAACCTGGATACCATGTATATACAGAGATCTATGTGTATATATATATACCGCATAGACCACCCTTCGGGTGATAAGGAGGTGAGGGGGGGGAGGGACCAACGTCGCACTCGATTGATCTCACTATCGAACTCACTACCGATCTCACAATCGATCTCAATCGATAGATCTCATAATCGATCTGACTTCCGATCTCACAATCAATCTCACAATCGATCCCACCCACAATCGATCTCACATTCGGTCTCGCTATTGATCTCACAATCGATATCACAATCGATCTCGCATTCGATCTGACGATCGATCTCACTATCAAACTCACTATCGATCTCATCATCGATCTTACATTCGGTCTCACTATCGATCTCACCATCGATATCACAATCGATCTCACAATCGATCTCGCATTCGGCCTCACTATCGATCTCTCTATGGAACTCACTTTCGATCTCATTATCGACCTCACTATCGATCTCACTATCGATATCACAACCGAACTCACAATCGATCTCACATTCGGTCTCATCATCGATCTCACTATCGAAATAACTACCGATCTCACTACCGATAGTGATGTCACTACTAACTCAATCAATCGATCTCACAATCGATATGACTATCGATCTCACAATAGAATCCACAATCGATCTCACATTCGGTTTCACTATCGATCATACTATCGATCTCACAATCGATCTCACAGTCGATAGCCCATTCGGTCCCACAGTAGATCTCACTATCGATCTCATGATCGATATCACATCCCGTATCACAATCGATCTCAGAATCGATCTCACAAGCGATCTGACATTCGATCTCACGTTCGATCTCACAATCGATATCACTACCGATCTCACTATCGATCATCCAAACAAAACATCAACATCGTCCAGCGGGACACTGGCGGAACACCGCGGGGCCCCGGCCGCCCGGAAGGGAATCATTTCGTCCGGCCGCGCCTCAGCCACACGGGACACCAACGGGACTCCGGCGGGACACCGCGGGGCCCCGGCCGCCCGGAAGGGAGACATTTGGTCCGGCCGCGCCTCAGCCACACGGGACACCAGCGGGACACCGGCGGGACACCGCGGGGCCCCGGCCGCCCGGAAAAAAAATCATTTGGTCCGGCCGCGCCTCAGCCACAGGAGACTTTCTCTCGCCCGCCCACGCAGCTTCGCCTCGCCCGCACGCACGGCACGCACGAACACGAAACCGAAATCGATTTCCCGGTAGGGGGGCTCTCCATTCCACTTCGATCTCACCCCCTCACCTCCGATATATATATATATATATATATATATATATATATATATATTATATATATATATAATATATA